TTAAATATCACACCTGAGTTCACAAAGCTGGAAAGAGATATAATTAGGACTTGAATTCCGGATATATTAAGAGTGGAGCCCAAGGGCTTCATCAGTATATCATTCCAGATTACCAGCAACTACTGTCTTCTATGATTGACCAATGGAAATTTGTCTTCCTCCAACCATTCTGGTCATGGAAGTTTCTTGATACATTAGGAGTCCTCTCAGAAGAGAAAATGGAATTGTTTGTCATGATTTGTTTTCAAAGAACCTAGGTTTACTCCTCTGAATGTCTGCTTCTCTTTCTTAGTGCTTACCTCTTTTTCATTATATATGGCACAGCAGTAAGGGCTCGAGATAAACCAGATCACAGAATTCTATGAAGATGACTTCAGAAAACCCTGTAGTCCCTTAAAAAGTAAGATTACTAAAATGATATTATGTTTACATAGGAGAATGTCCTTACCTTTTAGAGACACTTGCTGAAATATTTAAGGAAGGTTTGTCATGATGTCTATAATTTACTTTTTTTAAAATCGGTAAAAAATAAATATGTAAAGCAAGGACAACATGTTAATTGTTAAATCTCAGTAATGGGTGTGTATTTATTTCTGTGTATCATTATGTAAAATATTTATATTAAATATTATAGTAAATATGTTTAAAAGTCAAGTTAAAAAGTAAGTAATGAATATAGAATAAAGATTGAGATACTTAATACAAAGAGAAGTTTAAAAGAGATGTCATTCCAAAGGACTTATATGCATGCATATAAGCATAACCAATGGACACAAGACACTGGGAGGTATGGGAGGCTAGGGGAAGGTCAAGGGGAGAAAAAAAAAGGAGACATATATAATACTCTTTGTAATACTTTAAGTAATAAAACAATTTAAAAAATATGTCATTTCTGGTGATGATGATGATGACAATAATAATCCTATTGAAACAAGAACGGGTGAGTTTAGCAAGTGCCAGGCCCTGTGCTGAACACTCATCATGCATCGTCTCCTTTAGTCCACACCAGCCCTATGAAGTAGGATCATTTTCTCAACTTTATGAATAAAACTGAGACTCAGAGAAATGGAACGACCTGTTCCAGACCTGTCTTCACCAATTCAGTACAGTCCTGCCATAGGGAGCGCTGGGAGGCAGTGATGAGTTGAAAGAATCCAGGACGTATGGGGAAGCAGGTGAAGGCACAGAGGGGCTGATAAACTTGCTGAATGGAGACAAGACAACAATAGCAGGTCCCAGGGAACTCTGAATATTTCAGTGAAATGATGAGGCTGTAATTGAGGAAGGAAAAGTACTGGGAGGTGGTCCACTTTAAGACCATACTATTGTATCTGGTATACAGAAGAGGGCCATGCAATAATCGATGGCTATTGAAATTCCCAACAATAAGGAAGCAATTGGCATATATGGAAAATGAGTAGAGATGGGAAGGATATCTTTTGAGCAGGAGTCTGGCCTCACTAACAAAGGACACCATACTGTCTACCTCATTCAGTTCTAGGGCTGATCAGGGGAAGGATTGCTAACAACTTCTCCCCAGTTTATAAGATTATTTTGATGGTGGGCAAAGAACAGCTTCCAGTGAATTTTCTTTAGCATTTCTAAAACCAATTCACTAATTTTTAATAATTACTTCCTTTGAGCAGGGGGTACTGACCTCAGTTCAGCTATTTCATTTCAAACTAGAATTTAATTTTAACATTTTGCTTGTTGGGGGGAAAAATAGCCTACCTAAGAAAAGCTGGTCAACTGTGTGCTCTGCTGGAGAGATTGTCACAGCACGCTGGTGGCCTGGAGGTGCCAAAACAGACTGTTTCTGTAAAATTGAAATTAGTTCATTTTAGCTTATAGCTTTTTACTTACATTTAAAATGGAAGTGGCTATTTTTAAAAGAAGGAAAGGAAGTCTAAATTGCTCTGCTAATCCAATGAAATATTGCCAAGAGGATAAAAGCAGACGGCTGTGAGCCATGTGGGGGATCCTTTCCAAAGCTTGTTCTTATACCTCTCTTCTGTTTTCATTAAAGCAAGTCCCAGAGATCAAATGAACCGCGGACCCATGCTGAAGGCAAGGGCACATGTAGTGTGCTTGCTTCATCTCTGCCAGCAGCCCGCTTACCACTAGACTGGTCAGAAGAATAGTAATCCAATACTCACCCTCCCAGGTCTCCTCCCATCAGGAGCCATCAGGGAGCAGATGACTAAGTCACTCATCTAATTGCCTCCAGTTAGGTACTTGCTTGAAAATGAATAGGAGAGCTCATAGGAAAGGGGGAGACGGATCAGATATAATAATGGCACCAATAATTCACATTCCTGTGGTTTTACAGTTCACAAAGTGCTGCATATACATGCCTGCCTTGGATCTTGCTTTTGGGTGAGCATCTTCGGTCCATTGTACAGAATAGCAATCCCAAACCCAGAGATGTTAAGACAGGAATTTGTTCCCAATCATACAGTTCATTCAAAACATGGACTTTGATAACAAATGCTCCAGTTCAAATCCTGGCTTTATTACTTAGGAGCTATGTGACTCTGGGAAATTACTTAACCTCTCTTTGACCCCATTTTGTCATCTGTGAAATGGAGCTAAGGATAGTATCCATTGGAAAGGTTGTTGTGGAGATCAAATGACAGGATGCATGTCAAATACTAGGAACCTTCTGGCATATGGTATTCAGTAAATGCTATCATTACATTTATAAAACATTTGATGGCTCACAAAATATATTCAGTTCAACTGTATTTATTAAGCACCAGAGCCAAACACTGTGCTAAATTCTGGTGATGCTAGAATAAATCATTCATGGACCCAGCCATTCCACAGGATATAAGGCTAGCACAGGTAGACGGACGCCCTCAGTATAAAGTGATATTTTAAACAGTGAAGATAATCAGAGAATTCAGCCTGGCCTGAAAGTGTTAGAAAGGGCTTCCTAGAGAAACATACATTTCTGACTTGACCTTTAAAAAACCCTCTGGAAAAAAAGCATTATTTTCGTCCAGTCGACAAATGAGTGAAACAAGCCTCAAAAAGGGTGAGGACTTCCCAAGTTCCCTCATTGGTGAATGGTGAAGTCAGGTCTCAGTTAGACTAAACTACCTCAAGGGTATGTTCCCTCTGTACTGTCATTGAGACGATAAGCTGTGTGTTTTTTCTTCTGCACTAACCTTCTTGTTTAAAAGGGAACGATCACTCTTTTTGCCTCTCCCCTTTTCTCTCAGAAAAATTCAGCACAGAGACATTCTCTAAAATCCACAATATGCTAGCAGTCACAAAAGCCTAGACTGGGAGGGGCAATTGTTTACCTATAGGGATCTGGAGGGGCAGAGAAATACTTGCTGTTGAGTCATAGTTCTACCACTCGCAAGCTCTGTGGCAATAGGCAAGCAACTTAACCTCACTGGGCCTCAGTTTTTCCACTCATGAAATGGAGAAACAATAATCCTCACCTTCTGGAATTTCCATGATGATTACATTAGCACAGTGCTTGGCACACATTGTAATTGCTCAATAAACTTTCACTATGAACTGTAGAGAGATGCCTCTTAGTCCATGCACTTCACCACTCTGTTCTGATTGCACAAATCATCTGTCCATTCTATTTTGTTTCTCTCTTTCTCTCTCTCTCTCTCTCTCTCTCTCTCTCTCTCTCTCTGGCCTTTAATTCACTTCCTTCCACTGGTGATAGACAGGACTCTTCATGTCCTGAGATTGGTGTGATGATAATGCAGGTAGCTGGTCATAATATTAATATTGTGTGTGTTGTGCTCTTTGTTTTCAAAGCATGTTCACATGTCTCGCTTGTTGATCCTAAAATAACTGAAAGGTAAGGAAGGCAGGTATTATCCCCATCTTAAGGATGAGGAAACCTAAATATAAAGGAGAAAATAAAATAGCCACCACTGCTAAGCACTGATTAGGTACCAAGTCTTTTATGCATGTTATCTTATTTAAATTTCTTAAGAGCCTTCTCTAATAAGTGTTAGCAGTTCATTTTGCCGGAGTGGAAAATGAGACCCAGAAAAGGAAGTCAGGCACCCGACTTTCTCCAGACAGTAAATGGTAAAGCCAAATTTCAAGTCCAGATCTGTCATACTCCAAAGCCAATAAGCTTAATCATAAACTTTTAAAGATCTGCTCAACCCATCGGTGACTGCCATGACATTAAAATCCAGAACTCCTGATTCACAGACCAGGGCACCTTTCATTAAACCACTCATTCAGTCCTTCTTGACTGGGTGAGGTACAGGAGCTGGGCCCACCTGTGATCAGGTAGTCTCTGCTCACACAGACTGCTCTGCGGCTGTCCCAGTCTTAGCTAGTCTTCTGTCCATAGCTTCCTGGTTCATGCCTATGGGTTCCCAAACATGCAGTCGGAAGGTAATAAATTGATGTGTATGTAATATATTTCTATAATTTTAAAATAACAATTTATATTATCTTACAAATATTTATATTATATAATATATTTCTATTATATATGTTATACAAAACATAATTATACATATAACATATCAACTTATATATGTTTATATAGGGAGAGATATAATCTATCTACTGCATATATTTAATGTATATACATGTAACTGTTTTCAGAGTTTGCCAGAATCTCCAGCAAGAATATAGATTTGTCAGGCCAAACAAGCTTCTCCAGGATTCACCAGTAGTATATTTCTTTAAACATAGACTTGAACATGGAGAAAAATGAAAGAGAAATGGTACTAGGAGTTTCTTCTCTTCCTGGGTGTCCAGTCTATTTATATCTCTATCTCTCTCTATCTCTATCTCTATCTCTATCTCTATCTCTATCTCTATCTCTATCTCTATCTCTATCTCTATCTCTATCTCTATCTCTATCTCTCTCTATCATCTCCCATGGAGGTTATAGGCAAGCTCTGAGTGGAAGGATAAATTCTAACCATGTTCACCTTACCCTGGGAGTATGTGCTAATGTTGCTTCTTGAGTTGCTTCACTCGTTCATTTTCCATTTCACAAGGAGACGATGGCGAAAAAGGAGATCCAGGAGAGGAGGGAAAGCTTGGCAAAGTGGGACGCATGGGGCCAAAAGGTAAGTAAAATGGTATGAACTTGATCTGTAATGTTAGAATTGCTCTTCTCTCTCCTGGACTTACTCTAGGAATTAGCAGCTTTCATAATGCCCTTTGCTCTAAAGATACATGAAATGTATTTCAGATGTAAAGTTACTTGCCACCAGAGAGTTCTGATGAGTTGCCTGTCAACAAGACTCAGCCCCATTTCTCAAATTTCATCCTTAGGGGTGCCTACAGTGGGACACTCTGGGAGCCCCAGGGAATAGCAATCTCTGAGAATATCTAAGAAACTATGAATTTTGGAAACACAGCTGGGTTCAAAGCTGTATCTCCCCTTAGAAGCCACTGCTAAGCAACTTTTTTTGGGCTAACCTAGAAATTAAGGAGGAAGGTAAGAAGGAGAAGAAAATGGTTTGATTCTTTGATGTTCTCACCTTTCTCAAACATCTGGTGGACTATGGAGAGAGTAGGAGCAAAGAAGATGAGAATTATACAAAAGCTATTAGAGAATGTTTTTACTCACAAAGCCAAAAGTAAGTCTCACTCAAACATGGCTTCTGGATTGTGACATGTGTCTTCAAGCACTGGAAATATTCCCTGCCAACTGTACAAAATGGTGGCCCAAGACCACTGCTCTTTAAATCTTCATCATTTAAAGAGAGGAAAACACTCCCAGGCCTTTGAGACCTCAACTTGAGATATTCTGATTTAAATACTTTTATACTATAAATATGTATAATATTCTATACATTTGTTGTACATTCCCTAAGATAGTCAAATCCAGTTGAAGAAATAGAACCCCAAAGTGAAGCTGAAATTGATCTAGCGAGGCACAGAATTAGAATAAAATGTAAGAATTCTTCACTCAGCCGCTTATCTGGCCTTTAGATTAAACATCTGCTGTAGTCCTTTCAGAAAGATTGCATCAGTAAGCATCTTAATATCATCAGGTTCAGGATTGTCATACCCACATTTTAATTTTAATACATACATTATAATGCTATTAAAATAGTTAATACAAATATACCACAGATAGGAGAATGCACTCTTTGGTATTTCCTTCAAGTGGATATCATGTATTAGCCACATCTTTAAAGGGAAGATAAAATGTTAGGATATAAAGATGACCTGCTTTGCTTTTCAGGGATTAAAGGAGAACTGGGTGATATGGGAGACCAAGGCAACATTGGCAAGACTGGGCCCATTGGCAAAAAGGGTAAGCCACATCTTCCCATTCTCCAACAGCAATTTCAAGCACATTGAGCATACCTTTGATATATCTGAAAGGTTCTTTGGCATAAAAATGATCTTTCTTTTATAAATATAAGTATTCTATTTCTTCACATCTTGGCTGGTCAGTAGTAGAAAACAATTATTTAATATAACTCAAGGTAGCAGAGGACACTATAATTTTATTTTTTGAGTGGACTAATAGTAATTCCATGTCAGTGATCTATTAACAGGACAGAAACTTGAAATGAACATCTTTTGTTTTCAGTCTTTTCCTGATTCTGTACATAATTACTGCTTCAATACTACAAATACCTCTATTACAAAAATAGAGGTAACCTCCTCTTTATTACCTAAATACTCTTTTCTTATCTTGTCATAAAGCCCCACATACATAGCAGGTTGTAATTGCTTCTGATCTTTAGTAATTCATACAAGCATTGTTCCACTTTGTTTGAAGATACAAACTAAAGGAGAATCAAAATATTATTGCAAGAAGCTCAGATGATTTAGGAACACTGGACTTCTTCAGAAAGAATTATAATAATAACTCTATGACTACTATAAGAACCTTCTGGGAGAGTAGACAAGATTGACATGAAGAATTGACCTGGGTCTTGAAGGACAGTAAGATGCTTATGGAAATGGAAAAAAGGCATTTGAGGGGGATACAAGAAATAGTTGTGCAAAGGTACAGGTCAGGGGAAACTCGGTGCCTTGGGTAATAGAATTCCACAGCCGTGTGTTACCCTCCAGCCTTCCACACATGCTCGAGCAGCTGCGTAATTCAACATGTGTCTCACAGCGGCCAGCTGTGTGCTCCTGTGAGCAGGCTGATGGATGAGGTCTGAGCTAAGGTTGTGGCCTCTCGCCTGGCATCCTGCAGTGCAGTACTTCTCTCCCTACTCTCTTCCAACTCATTCCTTTGAGAAATTTCCTTCGGTCTGCATTTGAGGGCAGGGATAGAGGGCGGCGCCACTGAAAAGAAATCGCTATGGTTATTTTTGATCCAGTATATTCACCTGAGGGTGAAATCCTCATAGCTGAGAAAGAGCTACATGGACCGCTCAGAGTTCATGAGTCCTGCTGCAGAATGTGCCTGCCGTGGGTTTACCATGAAGCTAATAAAGCTGTGGCTTCAAAGCCCACACATGTTTGGGCCCTTCCCAAGGCCCTGAGAGGATCCTTAGCAATAGGTGCACATGTCTTGGTAAAGTTGAAAAATAAAACATTTTAACCTCAACTGGTTAAAATACTGCATCTCAATGTTTGTAAAAACTAGTGCCCCCCTCCCAACAATTTTTTTAGACATATTGCCCCCTTTAAAAGCTTTTTTCTAATTCCCCTCCACTCCCCTCACCCCCCCGCCCCCACCGCTATGAAAGTTTAATACCACCCACAGGCTATCTATTTGCTATGGACCCTGTGTAGACTGAGAGTTCATCTCCTTTCAAGAACTGACTGCTGCGTCCTTGAGGCGATGTTGTCCCCATTGAGAATGTGCAGGTTAAGATTACCGTCTCCTTTTGCTTCAACGTCTCTTCATCATATTCCTCATTGCGTTAGGTGGTTTTTGGAGAGGATGCCATGTATTTGGGAAGCTAGCTAAGAAGAACTTGAGAGAAATATTTAGTTTGAACTTCTTTATGTAGTGTGCAGTTTCTTCCATGTACAGCTAACAATTCTCTGAAGGAAGAGTCCCCAAGAATACGCCTACCATTTACTGTCCAGATCTATCCAAAGTCATGATGAAAAAGTGTGAGGGCAGAGATTTAGATCATTATATGAATGTGTCCTAGGCCATCCAATGCAAGAAATACGTGGATTGTGGAAAAGAAACAAGTTTTGCAATGAATAGGGCCACTCTGTAGAAAATTTTCCAAATCTAACAGCTCATATATATGAAGAATACTTTGTAGAAGTAGTTTTAAATTCGGTTTTTAATGATAGCAACAACATTCAGATTTATGCTGCAGGCCATGAGAAAATTGCCTACGTTAATCCTGATGCTAGTCATTCTTAACAAAAAAATTAACGCAATTACCCAAAATGATGCTATTATTGTTATGGGAAACAAAAAGTATAGGTGTTCGGGGGTGGGGGGATTCCTTTGGAGTAAAGTCCTCACCATGATCAAAACAGTTTTGCACAAAATCTACCCTTGTCACCTTCCTGTCCTCATCTCCCCCACCACCTCACCTGGTACATGGTAGGTGCTCAATAAACATTTATGAATAATTCTTTTTTTAAAAAAGAATGACTAGCTGAATAAAAAAAATGTCCAAAAGATATTTAAAGCCATTGAATAGGACTTTAGGGTTCATAATCTGGAGGAGAAGGGAACCACTGCAAGATAAACCACACATTCTATACCTACTGCTTTTCCTCTCAAATCATCACCAGTTCATTAATAAGGAAGCACTATGAGACTGAGGGCCTAGAGCAGAAAGTTGCTCAAATTTTGCAATGGGCTGCCCAAGAAGGCTGGCCTTGGAAAATGCCACTCCTTTTTATTTCAAAAATAAAAATTTCCAGTTATAACTCCAGAAAATTCTGGGGGGAAAAAACCATTTCATTAAGCATATACTCATCATGTTTAAAAAATCTTATCCAACTAGGAATAGAGGGAAACACACTTAATAGTTAAAGGAATGTCAACATCAACAACAATAAAAGACTATTTAAAAATTATACTCAATAATGAAATATTCAACACTTCTCTCCTGAAATTGGGAATGATGATTCAGCCCTCATCACTAATTCTAATCAACATTATAGAAGTTCTAGCCAGACTAAAAATGCAAAAACAAGAGATAAGAATCATAACAACTGGAAATGAAGGAATAAAAGGATAATTATTTGAAGATGACATGATTGCATGCCCAGCAAATACAAAAGAATCCACAGATTAGCTGTTTATATTATTGTTTTTAGATAGCTTAACATACAAAAAATTTTTATTTTTACATACCAAAAACAATTTTTAAATAAAATTAAAAAGGTGCCATTTATCATAACATCAAAGTTATCAAATATCTAGGAATAAATGTTAAAAGATGTGTAAGCCCTTCACAACAAATGTTATCTATAATAATAAAAGCTTAATATGCTAATTAGACTGGATGACCTTCTGGACGAAGCTGGGGCTGCGAGGGAACCAGTGCCTGCCAGTGGCCAGAAGGAAACCTGGGTCCTTGGTGCCGGAGGGAAGCCAGTGCCAGCAGCCAGGGGAAGGAAGGTCTATTCTTGCACGAATTTTGTGAATCGGGCCTCTAGTGTAATGATAATGAGAGAAATTAAAGAATATCTAAGGAAATGGAAGTAAAGCTACATTCACAGAGAGAAAGACTCAATATTGTTAAGATGTCAGTTCTCCCTAAATAGATCTATAGATTCATTGCTCTCTCAATTAACATTTTAGAAATAGTTCTCTTGAAATTTAATAAGCCAATGTAAAATTTTTGTGAAACCTGGTCGGTATGGCTCAGTGGTTGAGCATCGACCCATGAACCAGGAGTCAAGGTTTGATTCCCAGTCAGGGCACATGCCGGGGTTGCAGGCTTCATCCCCAGTTGGCATGCAGATGGCTGTCGAACAATGATTCTCTCGCATCTGATGTTTCTCTCTCTCTCTCCCTCTCCCTTCCTCTCACTGAAATGAATAAAAAAATATTTTAAAAAGAATTAAAAAATAAAATAAAATGTATGTGGAAATGAAAAGGACCAAGAATACCTAAAAAAATCTTGAAAAAGAAAAACAAAGCTGGATGACTTAAATCACTGAATTTAAACATTTATTATAAAGTTACAACTATGAAGATAGTATTGATTTAGTACAGAGACAAATAGATCAATGGAAAGGATTAGAGCATGCAGAAACAGACTCCCACACTTGATTTATGCAAAGTTGACATTACTTTGCAGTGAAAAATGATGAGCCTCTCAATAAATAGTGCTAGGTCAATTGGATATTCATGAATGCAGCCAAACATATGTAGCCCATAATGTATGAAAAAGAAGAATTATAGAGGCACAGAATTCATTTATTAATTAAAATCTTATAATCCTAGAGTGCTGATAATGTGGTATTTGTCTAATTTTAAAATTTAGTGATTTGTTTTTATTTCTTTTGTATAAGCATTTATTTTTATAACCACTTTTCTATTTGTAATTTGGTATTATTTTTTTAAATTTTTATTTATTGATTTGAAAGAGAGAGAGAGTTTGTTGTTTCACTTCTTCATGCATTCATTGGTTGATTCTTATATGTGCCCTGACTGGAGATCAAACTCGCAACCTTGGCATATTGCGATAACGTTCTAACCAACTGAGCTACCTGGCCAGGGCATTGGTATTATTTTTCTTAATGAGGGCTCCTTAAATTGTATAAGTTTCAGATAAAATTCATTATAGATCTTTTCCTGACTGTATCCAGCTTCATTCAACAACTAGTTGAAGGAATGGAAAGGTGTAGCCAAAAAGTGGGATGCTGGACATGGAGATTTCTGAGATGCAGCCTTGTTAGATGAGGGCAAGAGCCCCAGTACTGTCCTGGAATGGGCAGAAGTGGAGGGGGAGGGTACATCACTGCCACGAGCACCCCCAGAATTCAAGAACTTCATTTTTGAATGAGTTATTCAAGATTCTGCATGATCTTAGTTTTAAATGTGTCAACTAAGAGAGATGGAGTTCATGACCTTGAGCCAAGTCTTAATCCTTTCATAGATTAAGACTAGGTAACTTGGGAGGGTGGTAGATGACAGAGACTAGGGAGGGTCAAGAGTTTAGTATGATTTTCTGGGTGTCAAATGTTGGAAAAATAACTCTGGAAAGGATAGAGTTAAGCTGACCTTATCTTCTTCAGGACAATTCAGCATTCACACTCAGGTGCATAAACAACACCTCACACTTCGCATTCCTCTCTCACTTTACTCATTGTCATGGCTTATTAGCTTGTCTGTTTTGCCCTACAGACCATGAACTTCTAGAGCCAACAAATGAATGAAAGATTTATTGGGTCAATTTGCTTAAATAAATATAAACTATATGTGAGTACCCTATTTTTAATCATTTTATCCTAATGCCTATTTTATAGTAGAAACTTTCTAAATGTTTGCTGCAGTAAGGATGAAAAAAATGAGTGGTAAATATATTATTTCTAATCATGTAGCCCTCTTTTCTACCCTTTATTTCTTTAAGTACCACTTTCCCTTAACATCAATTTTCAACATTGACTAAGATTTCTTTCTCCTCCAGAGATATGCCATCAAAATTTATGAGCATGTCCTGAAATTTTTTAAAAATGGAGGTTCACTGTTCTGGCTCACCTGGATTAATTTCATTTTTAATCGGACTTTGAAATTTATTGCCCTCATTTTGTCAATAGCCCTTCTAAATTTTTCACTGACTCAGATTAATCTCAACTTTCTGGACTGGTCTTAATGTCACTTGCTTGGACAGGTAGCTTTCTGGATGTCAATATTTTATTTCATGAATAAGAAAAAATAATTTAATATAGGTAAATTAAATCTCATGACAAACAAATGCTTTTACTTAAGGTCAATATCCTTTTACAGTGAAAGCATTATGATTTTTATTTGTTTAAATGCAACCTCTAATTCTTCAATTTTAAGGCAGTTATTACAAACATGTTTCCACTCATGGACCAAAATAAGTCTTTGTGTATGGCTTTAAACCAGAATTTGCTTGGGCAAAATAGACATTGTAAGTCCACATCCTCCATCGACTGGCTAAGTACTTGGTATACTCACTTTTACCACAATTCTGATTTAGGAGACAGAAGCTAACATTGGTTGCACATCTTCTATGAGCCCAGCACAGACATAATCCTATGATAAAATAACATTATCTAATATATCCTCTTTAATGATCTTAGATATTAGGTACCATTATTTCCACTTTAAAAATCAGAAATGGAAGCTTTAAAAATGCAGTAACCTGTCCACATCTAGCTAGTAAGTGACAGAGCCAAGATTCAAGTCTTGGTTGTTCAGACTTTTATAGTCTTTCACTCCACCACACTGCTTTGCCTTTTCCATCTGTAAAAAAGGAAAATAATTTATGTCAAAATACTGGAAAGTCATCACGGTGCTTACATCTTCTCATGGAAAAAAATCAAATTATCAGTTCAGGATTTTGTTTCCCACACTATTAAGATTTAATGAAAAGCTATTGCTTCAGTGAAACTTTCTCTACTCTGATCCACAACCATCTTTGGTTTCTCCAAATACCTATCAGACATTTTCTTTATTTCACTCTGTTAATACATGATGGTGATAATGTCCCATCTCCTTGGTCCCTAATATGAGCTATGTTTTCCTTAAAAATATTTTTTCCAAAGCAAATATTCTGTTTATGCTTCTTTTATGTCCATCATTGGGCTTACCCCAGAACTAGGATCAATTTTCAGCCCATGTTAAATTGAAAGGGATTTACATGTAAAGAAAATGCACTATCTTAAAATAATTAAAGTATTAAACCATATTCATATGATCTTCAAGCCCATATTTTTTATGGTGGTGCTAAGGACTGGTACCCCTTTCAACTTTTGATAACATTTTTGAGTACTTTGAGTTCTTTCATTAAATCATTGGCTAGCTCTTTTGGGAAGCCCCATGAACTGGGGAGTCAGAAATGGTTGGCTTCAGTACCAGGGGTGCCATTGAATTGCTGGATGTCCCTGAGCAACTAATTGTGCCTCCTGGATCCTCAATTTCTGCAGTGGTATAATACAGATAATGATAGCACCTAGTTCATTGGATTTAATATGATAACATCTATAAAGTATCCAAAACAGTACTTGTCAAATGATCAGCACTTAGCAAAGCTATATTTCCTTTCTTTAATGCATTCAAAATCTATTCTTATCTTTTCCAATTTACATATAAAGAATGAGGAATTTGCAGGACACAACTTAGGTGTGAGTAGATCAATGGTATATTCCCGTGCTTTTTCCCTTACTGTACCTCTGCTGTACATTACCTCCTACCTTGCTCCCATCTCCACTTGCTGAAGTTTTCAGAACCAAGCTCCAGTGCCATCTCCTCAAGAGAGCCTCCTTCATCCTCCCATCTGGAGTACTACCTCTTCTGGCTCCCTTCCCAAAGTATGTGATCTCTGTTCAAGGTCTTTCTTGCAGTATTATCAGCACTCCATTGTCATAGATTTCAACATATCTCATTTATTCTAAGCACACGTTCTGAGGTGTCCTCCCACATACTTAAACTGCATTCTGGATTTCAAAGACCCCCTCCTTTTGTGTGGCGAGCTCATACATGACTGGCAACACTGTAAAGAAAAGTGTCCATGTATGTTGATTTAGAAAAACTCAGCAAATCCTTGGGGGCCAGCAGGTGTTCCTTTCTGGATGATCAACAGTCAATGTGTACAGGACTATTAATAAAGAGCACTCAGCAAGAATGTCCAATGCCATGGTTACTAGCAACATGTGATTGAGCACTTGAAATATGGTTAGTCCAAACTGACATGTGCTACAAGTGCAAAATATATATCAAATTATGAAGCCTTAATACCAAAAAAGTAAAATATCCCATTAATATTTTTATATTGATTACTTATTGAAACAACAATATTTTTATATATACATTAAATAGTATATAATATTTTTAAAAATTTAAAGCACTAAGCAGATAGTGATGACAAGATTAGCTAATGGACAGGCAACATGGGACACCCTATGGGTTTTGAAAAGCTCCCCCCTTTTGGTGGGAAAGGATAGGGTTAGGCAAAATCTCAAGGCCAACTTTGTTCCCCCTTACATTGCCCCCTTGGGTCATATCCCCAATTCCCTGGCTATACCAAACCCCCTCAAGGCTAAGCCACATACTCCTTTCTAGTCTGGATGACCTTTACCCTGTATTTATCCCTCCTGAGGCCTTTCTTCTTCTGTTTCCAGACCACCTTTGAAGCATTAACTCTATTTTACTTCTATCATGGCTTCTCTTTTCATTCTCAAGAGCTTAAGCTAAACATTTCCTCTTGAAAATCAAAGGCTTTTGCTTTCAATGGTTGTGTCTGATGTGGCCATAAGAGCTTATTTTGAAGTTAAAAAAAAATCAACATTTTTTTTCTCTCTGCTTTAATAATCCTGATTCTCTGAGTGGATACCTCTGACTGAATAAGAAAATGATGGCATACAAAGAAAAGCAGAAGGGAAAATTATCAAGGTTGATATTTCAGTAAAATATATTTGACACTATTTTATTTATAGATTTTGCATACATCACATCTCTTCTAAAAGTGTGTAAACTCTTTCAAGTCAGAAGTTTAATTTTGTCTCTTTATATCCTCTCAAAGTACCAAGCCTTCTGTCTTTCACAGGGTAAGTAAATAGTAAATATTTGAAAAAGCAAATAAGTTGAAAAAGCACAATACATGTTTTTGAAAATTCAAGGGCAACGCCATATGGAAGAATTTTGGTGCATGATAAACCAATGCTGCAATGTGTTAATCATTTGATCCAGATATACAAAACAATGGTACTTTTCAAATTAAAAACATGCAGAGAATTGTATTAGCCTTGCTCAGAAGGGCACATTATAAACACAGGTTTGCAGGATAGGTGACACAAATTTTAATGTTTCTTACACATCCCACTGGAATTCTACATTCAATCTAATTCAATTATGACTTGTTTGATTAGTTGTACCTGTGCAGCCAACTCCAAATCAAATTATTCATACAAAACCAAGGCATGCTGGTGGAAGATATTACAAATGAATTTTAAAACTGTTTCCTCTGATTTTAGCTGATCAAGATGTCTGTCTGAAACGATTCATTATTTTAATTGTTACTTCTGCGGCTATTGTTTCTATTCAGGTGACAAAGGGGAAAAGGGTTTGCCTGGGATTCCTGGAGGAAAAGGCAAAGCAGGTACGCTTGCTAATCTTGCTCCTTAATTTCTGGCATTATTCCAAATGTATCTCCAAAATAGATTTATTTTTTATGAAAAAGAAAAAATAAAAATATTTGCAGTACCTATTTTACTCAAGGTAGAGGAAAGAAAGAAGGGAACTTTCCTCTCTATTTGCTGGTGACTTTCCAAGCCCTGGGGAAGGGGTGATGGCACATTCCGTCCCGTCTGCTGTGGGGAAGCATCAGGAAGCAGCCCTCATTCTGCTAGACCAAGAGGAAAATCCACAGTGGCCTCAGCACTAGGCCTGGTCAGCATGCCTGACATTCCACCAGCATCTCAACCAAATACTGGCCAGCAGTTTGCCAGAAGCAAATTGGCCTAATCTGAAAGCCCTGTGATTACAGGACATCAACGACCATGGACACTCTCTCCAAGTACTGAGAGTTTCATTTCCAGAGCTACATGCAGGGATAGAAAGTACTTGTTTGGGGGGGCTTCAGTTGTTTCTGTCTATAGGGGTATAGTAAAGACTAATTCTAAGAACTGTTTTAAATTCCTTATTTAACTGAGAATATGGAGAAATAAAGCTATAAGTTTCCCCCTCCCCTTTGTCTAATAAATTTCTATTTCTTTATCAACCACCTTAGAAGAAAGCAAAGAGAAATGTTCATATGAAGCAGCCACCAAATAGAAAAGAATAGAATCATTTGAATTTCACATCATTTTCCTTACAATTCCTTCTGTGTCACAGTATCAGTAGGTAATTGAAAAAAAAAATAGGTAAATGAGCAAAGGGTAATCCACAGATGTGACAACTGGCTCTTGAAATAATACATTGGATATTTTCACAAGATTTAAATTTGGTCGTCAATACATTTAAGCTATGCTTCAAGTGGGTTATCAGATTTTACGTTTGAGCCCTAACCGATTTGACTCAGTAGATAGAGCGTTGGCCTGCGGACTGAAGGGTCAGGTTTGATTCTGCTCAAGGGCATGTACCTTGGTTGTGGGCACATCCCCAGTAGGGGGCGTGCAGGAGGCAGCTGATCGATGTTTCTCTTTCATCGATGTTTCTAACTCTATCCCTCTCCCTTCCTCTCTGTAAAAAATCAATAAAATATATATTTTTAAAAAAAGAAAAGGAAAGAAAGAGGCACAGCTCTGCTCATCTCAACTCCTATGAGCTAAATTCATGGTGGCATCATTTAAAAAGAAAAAAGAATTCACATTTGATTTCATCATGAAAGGTTTCTCTTGCCCTTGGAGAGTTGTGTGAGTGAGTGAACAGTGCAGTAATAGAAGAGAAGACCAGCCAGAAATCGGTTTTCAGAAAGCTGCAAAGATTTTATTCTGAAATTGGAGAGTCACATCCTGTGTTCCACAAAAATGCCAAATAGTCCACAACATGTGTGCAGTGGCTCATCGTATTTACTTTCCTTTTTAAGAAGATGGTTTCGAACTGTGTTTCGACTCGTTCACAATATTTTTAAAGATATATTCTGAATTCCTAAAGGCAGTGTAATTTGGAAACCTTATTTTTAATAAAAGATCAAAAGTATAGCTGCTCACAGAGAAACATAATAGACTAGAAAAAGATAGTAAATGTTGGGAAGAGGGGGGTGGCTCCTTTCAACTCATCCGCATGTGTTTCAATAAGAATTCACAGTTTTGTCCTTTGAAAGGTACTGTCTGTGATTGTGGAAGGTACCGGAAAGTTGTTGGGCAACTGGACATTAGTGTTGCTCGCCTCAAGACATCTATGAAGTTCGTCAAGAATGGTGAGTGTATTCTCTTTTGCTTTGTGCTATTTATTGATTTAGTCTTTTTCAACATTACAATTCCAGTATTTCTAGCAGGAAATACCTTGGGTTGGGCAAAGGACTACTAAGATAGTGTCATCAGATTAAAGGTCTCTCAAAATACTAATTATCCACGCCAACTCCAGGACGCTTCAAGTCCACTACATATATTTGTACATACTGCATTGACTATGGGTAGAAAAAGTTACTTTCTAAAGAGTGGGGACAGTGAAAAGGTCAGAGTTTGGCAAGACATGCTTTGAGAATAAAAAGGGACAGCAAGACTCAAACAGAACGATCATCTCAAAAAAGAGAAAGTGATAATAAAAACGATAGCTATTTCCTTAAATACTTGGAATATTAATAACTATGATCTAAGTGCTATGATTAAGATGAAGCTTAGGAAGATGATCTTGCCCATAGATACAGAGCTAATGAACTGTGGAGCAGGGATTTGATTACAGGTTTCACACAAATTAATAGGGACATCATGTGTTTCTTTAAATTTTGCAACTTTTCATATTAGTCATTTTTGTTATCCTTGTCCATAGTTAGCAGTTACACCCTTAACGTGAGGCTAGTGTTCTCTTCTGAGACAGTATGAATGTGGGAACTATTGTAGTTAGTGTTACAATTGGTTTCATTTTGTTGTACTTTCATTTATTGCAATACAGCTATATTTGTTTACATTATTGGAAGCACACAGACGCCATCTTGTGTTCATCCTCATCTTGTAATACTACAGGCAAAGGAAATGCTCAATATTAACTATCAACCCTAATTATAATTCTGGTTATAACCTGCACACAAGATGCAGTCTCTGGCGTGACTTGGACACTCATGAATAAACCAGACCTCAGAGGTTCAACATACAGCAATAGTTCTTAACATTTGAGTGGCCACAGATTTCTTTGTGCATTTTAATTTATGAACCCTGAAAAGTATATGTTGATGTCCCTGAAGCCCAAAACATATATAGCATACTCTGAGCTCGAAATGATTCTGCGTCCCCAATTCTGTCTTGAAGCTTACTCAATAGCTCAGTCTACTTCATGTACCTGGAGTGAAGTATGAACAATCTCAAAAGATGTACGTGTTCACAGCCCTGGAATTGGCCCAGAGTGGAAAAACTTCTGAATTATTCCCATATCAGTGTAATAAGCTTCTATCCTCCTTTGCAATGTTGGAAGCGCCAAGACTACAGAATAGCAAAGACATACTTATAGTTCTCAAGACGTTCACAGTTTAGTAGAAGAGACACACAAACAATTAGACTAGAATGTGTTGAGTACTAAGAAGTGGGGAGCAGGGGATAAGACTCCCCAGTGTGTGCTCAGGGAAAGGCTCCTCTGGGATAAAACACTTACACTGAGATTGAAAGGATGAGTAGAGTTGTCCAGGAAGAGGAGCAGTGAGAAGAATTCCCAGGCATGAAAAGCATGGAACTGGAACAGAGAAGGGCATGCTCATGGAACTATAAGTTTGGCAAAGGCATAAACTAGGATGGAAAAATAGTCTGAGATGAGCTGAGATGCAGTTCATATAACAAGTTTGTGTCAAAATAGCTCTTGCTTCAAAGTTGTGTGGGAAGTTAAACAGGAATGGCAGGGAGGACAACTGGTAGGAGTTCTTTCTCCATTTGAACACCAGAAAGGTGGAGAAAATATTAAACCAGTGCCAAGCTCATCATAGGGCCTTGCAAAATAATTGTAGACTTTTGAAGAAATGTATTTAAACCCAGAAAAATTATATACTTGCCTTTTCTCTTTTTGAGATAAATAATTACACTCTTCTCTGCAAAGTCATAGCAGGGATTAGGGAAACGGAGGAGAAATTCTACTACATCGTGCAGGAAGAGAAGAGCTACAGGGAATCCCTGACCCACTGCCGGATCCGGGGCGGCATGCTAGCCATGCCCAAGGACGAAGCTGCCAACACACTCATCGCGGACTACGTAGCCAAGAGTGGCTTCTTCCGGGTCTTCATCGGGGTGAATGACCTTGAGAGGGAGGGACAGTATGTGTTCACGGATAACACGCCACTGCAGAACTACAGCAACTGGAAGGAGGGGGAGCCCAGCGACCCCTATGGTCATGAGGACTGTGTGGAAATGCTGAGCTCAGGCAGGTGGAATGACACGGAGTGCCATCTCACCATGTACTTTGTCTGTGAGTTTGTCAAGAAGAAAAAGTAACTTCTTTCATGCTACACATTGGTTATCCCCTGTGACTACCATTGCTGTTCTTTTTATCTATCCTTTTCTCCCCAGTTATGCTAAATTTGTTCTGACTCAGGACAAGTGGGAAATGCTAAACTGAGGTTTGGAATCTCCATCGCCCTGTTCTTTGGTGACAGTTTTAAAGATTTGCATATATAGTATAGTATTGAGCCAACAGCTTACATGGATCTCAAGAGAGAGTTTGAATTGTTAGTTGTGTGGGACGTGGTTGTTTATGCCTCAGATAAAATGTTCTCTTGGCATTTGCTCTGTCCCCTCTCCCTAGAGCCCTAATCGCTCTCTACCTGGCCCAGAAGATAATTGGGACAGTTGGTTGGTGAGGACTAGGATAATCTGTCATTCCCAAAGTCAGACATGTGGGAGGGTCTTATGTTTTCTAGAAATGCCAAGATATTATTCATCTTGGAATCCAAGATCCCTAGTTCTTTGATCAGTCATCACCATAGCCATCCTCATACTTGCAAGTCCCTCTTGTTCACACAAACATAGGAACACTTCACCCCCAACCTCTATATGAGGAATTTCTGGGCCAGTGACCTGTTCCAGGCCATATGGAAACACACAGAATCTTTTTGTGCTTCTGACCTACAATTTTCAGTGAAGAGTATCAGGTAGCTGCCCTGGCTCCCTTCCTTTAGGCCTACAACTTAATCCCAGACCCCCGGATGATTAACTCTCTGACTTGAGGAAAAGGGACCTTTAGAAATTAAAAAGAAAATAAAAAGAAGAGTGTTCCCAAACAATATGATTTCTAATCCTCCTGCTAAATTGCCCCTTGCTACTATTATGGCTCCATTTTTCCTTGTCTTAGGTTGACTCATATCAACTTTCCTCCCTTAGTCATGGGGAATGACGGGTGGGGTTTCTGAAGCCTTTGGAAAACTCTAGAAGCTTCCAAGTGCTACCAACATCAAGTCTCTAATCCCCCTCCTCCCTATATCTAATTTATCACTCGGGGTAACATTTTGTGGAAGGCCCTTTACTGCCATAACTGCGTGTTGTAAAATCCCAGAGCAGAGATGCCCTTTCTAGTACTCTGACATCACAGGAATATCAAGCATGGAGTTTGGAACATGCCTAGGACTCACATTTACTGAGCTGATGAAGTTCTACTTTGAACTACAGATCAAACTTCTAAGCAGCTTTCATTTTGGAACCTAAAAATAAACAGTTCAACAAAACTCTAGAGTATCCCCTTTTACATTGCTGCTCCAGTTATAGTTTGTGATATATGATCAGACTCTTTAAAATGCTGGCAAAATGGTTAATGAACTTAGAGAAACAGATCAACAACATATGTTCACCTTAAACCATCTGTTCATGATTTCACCCATGACTAACTGGTTATGAGATAGGATTTAATTAGGATATTTCTGTGGATTTAACAAGGGTCACAAACTCAGGTATTACAAGGGCCATACAGATGACATAAATAAATGAGGTGGAACAGGTGGAATCCTGGAACACTGAAAACAGCTTGCCCATCTAAAGGAACCAGCTGTTTCTCGGTGGCTGCTATTTTTGCCATGGAGGACCCAATGTCACTACATGTTCTGATATTTCAAGAGAAATCAGAGATCTGGAATTTAACTTTATATTTTTCAAAGTTGGCATATAGTCAATTTTTAACCCAAATGTTAAGCCATACAAAACAGTCTGCTAGCCAAAATCATGACCTTTCCATTTCTCACCTCTTGGGGAAAGTTCCAAAGATTCTAACCATATTCAATGTCATTAGGATACAGTGACATCAAAGTTAAGATCTCCCATTGATACCTCATTCAGTTCAGCTCAATCACAGGAATTTCTTCAGTGTTTTCCACTCATCAAGTTAATAAACTAGTTACTTATTCAGGCTTTGAGACTGTGACATATGATATTTTGAAGGCAGGCAGTTTAATAAAAATCACAAAGAGAACACCATATCAAAACCAATATCTTTGGGTCAAATGTCAGCCAAGAACATGAGGCACAAGACTCTAGGAACACTTGGAGGAAAAGAAAGGGGAAAAAAGAGAGAGATAATTTACCAAAATTATCAAATTTACCAAAAAGAGAGAGATAATTTACCAAAATTAAGCCATTTGAGAGAAAAGTAGTAAACCTTGCTAAAGAGCAGTAAACCTTGCCTAAGATCTCCACTGGAATTCATATTCTAATTTTTTCTGAGACCCTAAAGTATGAATATTTGTTGTATGTATTACAAGTGCTATTATGAACTCTATTATGATTATGATAATAATAACAGCATTTTTCCATGGCTCATCTTTGCTTCCAATGCTTCCAAGAGAAGATCACAGACCTTCAAAGAATAGGCTTCATCCTTCCACCTTGCCTAGAGGAAATGGTTAAGGTACCACAGACTTAATTAGACCTATTATGAAACTTGCTTTGTGCTTTACAAAATAAACACCTTCACATATCAGATATCATGTGATTTTGATAAACTTTGTGAGTACGAAGGGCAAACATTTTTCTTTTTATTCTTTATTGTTTAAAGCAGTGGTTCTTAACCTTCTGGCCCTTTAAATACAGTTCCTCATGTTGTGACCCAACCATAAAATTATTTTCATTGCTACTTCATAACTGCAATGTTGCTACTGTTATGAATCGTAATGTAAATATCTGATATGCAGGATGGTCTTAGGTGACCCCTGTGAAAGGGTCGTTCGACCGCCAAAAGGGTTGCGACCCACAGGTTGAGAACGCTGGTTTAAAGTATTACATATAGTATTACATAT